TGTTTCTTGCATTTTTCGTCCGTTGGTGCTCGGAAAGGTGACGGAAGATTTGGGCATTGTGCCTGCGGTGACGGAAGATTTGGGCATTGTGCCTGCTGAAGTTTGAACTTTGTCGAATGTGCTTTTTCCGGAACAGTTTTCCAAAGTCAAAATTCTTTTGGAGAGTTTCTGAATCTGTTTTGTGTGTTTTCGTTGTTGTCCGTCGGTGTTCGGATCTGTCCGGATGAGTTCGGAAGAGTTTCGGTTGGTTTGTGAGCGCAGCATGTGGATTTGGAACCTTTCGTTGCGTCGACAGAACTGTAGTGGCAGGACGTGTCCGAGAGCAGTCGTTGAGGTCCGACTAGGTTCGGAGGTGTAGGAGGACTGCTTCTTGTTGATCTAGGAGCCTTCTGTTCTGTGGTGCAGTGTTTTGAGTTTTGCTGAATTTGCTTTGTGCATGCAGTGTGGAATCTGGATGATAAACATTCACTGAGGAATCCAGTTTGCTTCCCCGAACGTCCGGATAGTTACCTCTTTCCTAAGGAAATTGAGACGCTTGAACTGTAGGAACTTGTGCTGTGACGCTTGTTCCTTGATTAGACTGCTCTCCTCGTCTTGAGACAGTTGAACTGAGTGATGACCGCCCGCCGCCATTTTTGTTTAAGAAGGCAACTGAAGGAAGTCGACTGGCGACCTTGTCCCAGGCGAAGGGTTTTCGTTTGTGGTTTGAGACACTGAAACCGTTGGCCAAGGCTGGCAAAGGCTGCAATAAGTAGCTAACCATGAGTGGCTAGATCAGGGGTTTGGAGTGTCAGACATGTCCAGTTGTTTGTTGGATGCCAGGGATTGCAGGGTTGAGACGCCAGGGAACGACAGTTTGAGACTTCAGTTGTTGCCGAGTTTTTGGACGCAGTTGTGCAAAAGGGTTGTGAACATTCTTCATTTTAGGGTTGTAGCGTGTTCGAGGGTTCTAGAACATCTGTTCTTTTTGGTTTTGTGTTGAGATGTTGTTTTCGTTTGCTGTGTGCTGTTTGACAGAGCAAGGGTTATGCTTGGTGTTCGTGATTCATTTGCTCAATCCATCAGCCTGTCGCGCAAGCATCGCTGGGTGAACTTCGAGTTTTGGATCTGACCCTTTTTGGAGCCAGTATGACTGACATGAAGCGCCCTGAGACCACCGCCGTGGTGCGGGAGGAAAGTGAAGCGGCTGTGCCGGCCGCGGCCGACGGTGTCCCAACACCGAAAGCGGCTGGTCCCCATGCACCACCAGCTGGTGAGATGACCAATTTGGTCGGGAACACGGTATACGGGGTTCTTTTGAAAGACAAGGACCTGACGACCATTCCACTGGACGAGCTCATGCAATTGCAGATGGCTACCGTGGAGTGTTCCGAGAATTTGATCTCGGAGACACCTTTTGAGATTGCGAAGAGCGAGGCTGAAAGGTGGCACAAGGGGTCTAATCAGGTTTTGGAGACCCTTTATCGGGTCCAATCGGACCTTGACCACATCCAACGTTTGCGTTCGCAAGACCCGACTCAGAATTTGGCAGAGCTGACCTTGCCTGAAGGCCAGGGTGTGAACTCTGGAAAATCCTTCACGGAGCTCCAAATTCTCCGCCAGTCGCTCCAGTAGAGGCAGCAAAATTTGAAAGCAGGGGCTACGTTTTGGTCCCATGTATACTTTGAAATCATCGTGAGTCCTTCCTCGGATTTGGCCTCGATGGATTCTTTGCCGGCTAGCAGCCGAGGTTTGGCCCTCCGGTCTGCGGACCACATGCAGGACCTCCTGCGTTGGACGCTTGGACGCTTTGGAAGGCTCCAAGATGTGTGTGGCGATGTCAGCAACTTTATAACTCAAGTTGCAGAAGCTGAAGGGAACACAAAGATCCGACTGTCCGAGATGGGAGAGAAACTGGTGGATTTGTCCAACGGTTTGATTGGGCTCGGAAGTTCTGTGCGACACACACAGGATGAGCAGCTGAAGGCACAAAGGCAGGCCGCCAAGAGTTTAAGTGACATTGGGTGGCAGCTCAGTGGAGCCGGCAAGGGGGTGAATACCTCCGTAAAGGAGTCTTTGCTTTCCCTTGGAAAGTTGCTCTCGCAGATCGATGCGAATGTGGGACGCCAAGGAAAGGCTCAGGAAGAGACAAATGCTCTCTTGAAGACCCTCAATGGTTTGATGAAGTCCCTAGTGGATGTGGAACAGCGCAAGACCACCCTGGTTGCGCAGGCTGCCAAGGCCGCTTCGACTGTCCCGGCGAATACCGGACCATCAATTGCTGCGCCAGCATCGGTGCCAGCATCGGCACCAGCAGCAGCTGCTGCGGCACCTATGACTGTCCCTGCGACCTTGGGGACCGGGGTTCAGACGCCGGTTACACCGGCTGTGGCGCCAAAGCTTCTGCCCACTTCGCTTGGTGCCGCCCCTGGAGGATTTCCATCGATGCCGACCTTTCCTCCAGCGTTTTCGACTGCAGGGTATTCAGTGCCGACTTCCCCATGCAGCAGTGGCTGCGCCAGCGGCAGCGTGGGACCACCACAACCATCGTATAAGAGAATGCGAACCTCTGATGGGCACTGGGTTTGGGTTGAGCAGGACCCAAATGATATCTAGGAGAGATCCTTGGAGCATCTTCCTTTGAGAAGAGAACCTGGCACCGGGGATGTATGATCCTAGGTTTGCTTCAGAACTGAAGACAGCTGACCATCGATGAGAAAAGAAGAACCCAGGGATTAGTTCTTGTGATTCTCAACTCGCTTTGGTTGAACTTCATTTGAACTCCCTGTTGTCTTGTTCAAGTTTTCTTGTTGAGTCAAGGGGATGCACGTTTGAGATCTTGAGGGGTTGAAGTTTTGTGCATTGCTATGTCTGAACTTGACAGGATGAAAAGGGAAGAGGCCAGGGGTTCAGAGGAAGTGAGATCAAGAAGAGATCAAGGGTTGAGAGCTTTGAGAATCAGGGATGTCTTTTGCGTTTGCAACATGTACCATGGCAAACAGTAAAGAGGGTTTGTAGCTAGCAGGGTGACTAGTTTCCTTCGATTGCTGTGGACTTTGAACCGGATGACATTTGCATCGAGTTGATGTCGAGTCGATTGGTTGCAGTTGAAGACAAGTGAAGGGTTTTGGAACTCAAGATGTGCTTCAGAAGCTGTCAGTCAAACAGTAACCCAGGGTTTGTAACTAAGGGGTTGAAGCTAGACTTCATTTTCGCTTGCTGTTTGAAGCTTTGTGCACTTTTGGACTGGTCAGGTTTTGTCGCGATGAGGGTTTGTCGTTTTGACCTGTCAGGTGTCCGCTTGAAACCATCTTGGTTTCAAGGTCCCAAGGATGACACAAGCATGAGCCAGGAGCTAGCTCTGTGCAGCTCCTTGAGGCCATGCTGTCTGAGGGATCTTGACCTTTTGATGTTTGTCTTGCTTGGTTGAACCTTGGTTGATTGGTTGATCTTGATTGGAACTTGCGTGAAGCTCGTTGTTCTCGATTTGTTGACGTTTGATCGACCTGGAGACCAGTTTGGACCACAGGAGTTGAGATCTTAGTTGATGCTCGAACCCTAGTTGCTCAGAGAAAACGAATTGAAGAGAAGAAGAAGAAGACAAGAAGACCAGGAGAAGGTACGAGGTGACCCAAACAGGGGTGTGAAAAGTGTGGGTAGCACGCCTGTACAGTGTGTGGATCACCTAGTACCTCTGTGTAGTGGAAGTTTTTCTGTCCTTGGGGTTGGAGCTGACCCCCACCCCCCACCCCCCACTCCCCACTCCCCACTCCCCACTCCCCACTCCCCACTCCTCCTCACTCCCCACTCCCTCTCCCCTCCTTACCCCTCCCCACTCCGCTCCCCACTCCACTCCACTCCACTCCCCACTCCCCACTCCCCACTCCCCACTCCCCACTCCACACTCCACACTCCACACCACTCCCCACCCCACTCCACTCCACTCCCCACCCCACTCCACTCCA